TGTAAAAAAATCTCATCGCCTTATTGATCCTTTAGACTGATTGCAAGGGATGATATTTTATAATAGAATGCTATATATGGTTGTGAATGAAAAAGCTTTCTCCGTCTCACAGTCGGACTCACTGGTCGTGTGTGATGTGGATCCAGAGCTCAGAGACAAGATCCGGAAATTTCGTTTTCGTAAGGAAACCAACAATGCAGCCATCCTGAGTAAGTGAGAGAGCATCAAATCAAGAGTTAGTAAGGTGCATGGACCACGGATATCGCTCAATCAGGGCCAGAGCCCCCTTTTTTTCTCAACTCATTCAAGGAGTAATTTCTCACTCTTGTCCTTATTCTTTCCATTAACTTATGAACTCAATGGAATCATTACCCTTTGCCTGTGGGAAGACCCTAGTTTCTCATCTGTTACCCCTTTTCAGTTATCTTAGTTTGAGAAAGAAGGGAGCCGTGAGATACCCTTGGTGGAGTAAGAAAATAATTGCCTATCTCGGATGGGTTATGATGATAGAATAACCAACATGTCTTCTCAAAACCACCGTTTACTCCCCTTGACCTGTAATTAGTAAATTAAGGTCAAGCAAACTGAAGGCATTAACTTGGAAAATAGTAACATTAGCTCCATGGCCCTTTGTTCACAATTGGCATAATATATTTACATAAATAAGAGATAAGTACGGGGTTAACTTACTTTGTGTATGTTAAAGAAGATGTGCCTTAGATGAGATATAATTAAACTTCACAAAAATATATACAGTGCCAGTATAAACAGCAAGCTAGTAACCATATACCATATACCATAAAGACACCATTTGGTGTGAACCCAAAGGTTCTTGTCTACACCTTTGAACTTTCTGACATTGACTATATCCCACCATCCCTTGTGGCGCAGCCCCTATTTATTTGTGTACATTTCTGTTTTCTGCTCAAAGGGTGAGAGGGATCCCCTTTCTTGAGGTTGCTGCCTACCCACTGATACATTAGCACTGATCCTTCTTTTGTATATTTATGACATTTTATTGATTTATATCTGTTTTATTTTTCAGTGAAGATCGACAAGGACCGACAAATGGTGATTCTAGAAGAGGAATTGCAGGTTAGTAAACAGCTAATTTTCCTCTTCGCTATTTATCCATAACCGAAGGAAGTAAAACCAGACCACGTGCCAATCCCATTCAGAGAGTTTTAATCTACATACTGATCTTCTAGGCCTATTAACAAGTGATATGTATTTATATAGAACTGTTCACTATAAATGTAATTGCACGGACCACTGATAATAATTACAAATTAAGATTTTTCTTTTTCAGGATATTTCGCCTGATGATTTGCAGAATGAGCTTCCAGAACGCCAGCCCAGATATCCTTTTAATATTATGGTGGGAGATATGAAATAGAAAAATACTATTGAAATCTATAGACCGATATACTGTAACCGCTGTATATATCTCATATTAAGTCTTACAGTGTCTCGGTGTAGTGCTTTCCTTTAACCCGCTGTATATAATGATGGCGAGGGGGGAGGTAACACTGTATCGGTCAATTTCCTTGACACTGCTGCAGGTTCCTGGTTTATAGCTATAAGTATGTCCATGATGACGGACGGGTTTCCTATCCGCTATGTCTGATCTTCTCTAGTCCTTTTGGTGAGTGACGGCCGGATCCTATGGTGGGCTTGGACTGGGGTAGTTATATCCTGGCACAATGAGTAACAAATTAACATGTCACCTCTGAGCAGGATGCAAGCCCGAGCAGCAGATGATGTACGCCGGCAGCAAGAACCGACTGGTACAGGTCACTGAGCTGACGAAGGTACGGAGGGCAACAATGTCCTGATATTAGAGCAGTAGATAAGATGACACTGTTACCACAAGTAGTAAAGGTGATGTCGGTATAGAAGGGCTTAAAGAGACCTTTAATATGCCAATGACGTTAGCTTTCAGTGCGATACTCGGTGTGTTTGGCATATATTGTTGGGAGCTTGGCGAGGGTTCCTGTTTGCTTAAAAGTTAATATTTCTAGGCTGGGTCGTGTCACGTCTGGGAAATAAGATTATTGTAGAATTAAATTCTGGTTCGTCCTATGTGTGCATTCAGATTAGTCTGACATTTAGAGAACCGCAAGATAAAATTCATAGTTTTCCTGTTCTGCACCAGGGGATTCGGTGCTGCTGTGAGAGTTTTGGCGTCAATGCATGAGAAAATTGTTGGTGCCACGTTGGGGGTTTGGCATTAGAGGGCATTTTAGTACGGTGAGTTTATACTTCATGATTATTTTCACCCTCACTAAAAGACCTGCCTCCGGGACCTAGGAAATTTCAGTATTTTTTTAAATTTCTGTTGCACAGCCTTTATTATTTTATAAGACAAATCAGAGAGTTTATAGCCATCTCAACAGTGTGAGACTGGGGTTTAGTACCCTGTAATGGACTCCATTTACATCAAACATCAGTCACTGAATCCCACCTCAGCAGCTGTCTCCAAATATTGGAAACCTGTTCTGGAGGTTCTGTTACCGCAACCAGTGAGTTGTGGGCAGATACTGGACCAGCTTGAGGACGCAGGACAGCAGATTAACTCTGCCAGTCACTGAGTTATGATGTTTATTCCAGTAATACCGTACTTTATAACACTTTGTCTGTAAATATATTGGCACTTTTTTATTTACAAAAGGAAAATACTGGTTTGGTTACATTTAAATAGATGATTTATTTTTGTGAATTGGATCTCTATGACTATTCTCAACTCAGACTAGTTAAATGGGGACCAGAGCGCACATGCTGACTGCACTATGCCCAGGGCCACCTCTTGTACGTCTCAGCCATCCAAGGCTCAACTGTGAGTAGAAGAGGGGAGAGTAAGTAATAGGAGGTATGTGCAGTTCTTGGGAGTTTGGAAATTGGGTTGGGTTTAGAGTTCAGTTAGATACATTTATCATCCACTCCTAAAACAAAGGCGTACATTAAAATCCTGCATCTGTAACGCATCAATAATAATTTTTGAAATTTCTCAAACTACCGTTTGTTACTGCTGCTAACACCGCTGTAGTCAGAAAACATTATCTACTCACAGCGGGTGTAAACCATCACTTACTGTATTTGTCAAACTCGATAGGCTGATAGCGTGAGGTTAACGACAAAAAAAAACAAAAAAAAACTACATCACTGGTTGAATGTTACAGATGGCCACGTTTATTAAAGGGACAGTCCAGACTCCTAAAGCACTTGATCTTGCTGAAAAGCTTTATGTCCCATTGTTTTCATTTTACAAAAAGTGCAGGTTTAAAAACAAATTGTCACTTTTATAAATTACCTTATTACAACTCGACCAGCTGTCAATCACACAACCGGTCCTGTTAATGACTGGTTTAGTTAGCTCAGTGGATCTGAACTCAAGAGGCAGCAATTGCCCAGAGGTTTGCAACCTGGCTTGCAAAGACTGCTCATTGACCAATGGAATGTTTTGGAGGGGTTAGAATGGGAGAGCTTACAAAGACTGCAGACAAGTGATCTGCAGCTTTTGCAACCTATTTTAGACATATCCTAAAAAAAAGCATAATTAAATTCATGCATGCTCTTATTAGGGGTATATATACCAAACAGTGATTTTATTTATTTTGTATTTGGGAAGTGAAGTGACCCTTTAATAATGTGAAGAGAAGACCACTGATCATGGGACACTGCATGGAGATCACCTTTCTGACCCCAGATAAGGGGGGCCGATCACCTAAATGGTGGTTTTAGAGCTATAGTGCCAGGAATGCATATTTGTGTGCCTGACACTATAGTTGCCCCATTATATTTTTAATTTAGTTTGAAATCCTGGCAATTGTCTCTTTAGCAAATAACACAGTTAAAATATTCTGGGGTGTCGGTTAATTGTTAGTAAGGTGTCCCTTTTAGAAATAAATTATCAAGTAGAGCTATTTTCTAAAGTGAGAATTCAAAGTGAATTTCAAATTTGAGGTCGGAATAACCAAATTGGATAAATCTAAGGTTCGCTCTCAGTTTAGCTTCATTAGTGAATAAGCTTTGTAATGGTCCAATGTTTCTATTCTAAGATTGTCCCATAACCCATAGAAACATAATAACTGGGGGATGGGGAGGGGGAGGCATCTCACCACAAAAATAATAATCCTTAAAATATACCTGACTGGCACTTCCAGGACTCGCTGTGCTTTTGGGAGAGTGGTGCTTGTTAACTTTGCTGTATTATGTTGTATTAAGATTTTATTATGGTCTCAATGTTATTGCATAGATAGACCAAGCCTGGGAACCGCTATGATAAGTCACCATCTCTCTTTCCAGGTGTTTGAGATTAGGAATACGAGTGAACTCACGGAGGAATGGCTCAGACAGCAGCTTGCGTTCTTCCGCTGACCTGGAACATGCGCTGAAAGCCCGCTTCTTGTGCAATGTGAAATGTAATATCTAAATAAACACAAAACACTGTAATGGTACTCGGGATCACTGCCCACAATTGTCTTATTTGTGTCAGTCTCTGTGTTAGGGAGAATCGTATATATTTGTTTTGCATTTACTTGTAATTCACTGCTCATGCCCTGGAATCCAATAGAAGATGTTCATTAGATTCGGTTTATGGGAGTAAAGAGGTTTTATCTGAATTTACAATAAAATCAGATTAATCATTGTTTTATCCCAGGTAGATCAGCAGAACTGTCACCATCTCAATCTAAATAGACAACTTTAGTTTCACTACACCAATTTCTGGATGGATTTCAACAAATGAACATTGTTCAAGTGAATATTTAAATATCCCGGGGAGGAGAGATAGTCAATTAGTGCTCTGTCTGGAGTACAAATGTACATACTTTACATGAACAGAGCCTTTTAAAGTATTTTATCCAGGTCTATTGCAGGGGCCATAGTCACAGGGTAGGAGGCTGGCAAACAAGCCCCTCCAAAAGCCAGTGGCGAAGTTACTTTCGTCACATCTCTTCCCTCCCAAGGGTAGACTAACTTGACCTCCTGTTGGTCGGTACCTGAGTTAGTCGAGTAGCCCCCGAGTAGCCCACCCATAACCAAGTACTTGACCTGTAGCTCCGGAGAGTCCAGCTTTGTCCCGGTGGTCCCATGCTGCAGAGTGAGCGTCCGCCACCCCCAATCTCCTTGGTGCTCCCAGGCATAAAGTTGTACGTACTGGGGGGTAGAGGCCAACTGTTTTATGACGTCATATGCCAGCTCCCGGCATCAATAGACAGCCCGCAAGGGTGCAGATCAGAGAGAACACAGCTCCCTCGCCGCGTGTCACAGGAATTCTGCCACCCGCCGCACTGAAGCCCCACTGGACCCCAGGTACAGGTCCACGCCAGCTCTCCAGGTAGAGAAGCCAGGTGGACATTAATTATTAATAATTTGTGTGTATATGTGTATGTCTGATGTGTATGTGTGTCTGTAAGTGTGTCTGTTAGTGTGTGTGCCTGTAAGTGTATGTGTGTCTGAGTGTGTGTGTGTGTCTGTAAGTGTGTGTGTGTTTGTAAGTGTATTATGTGTCTCAGTGTGTGTAAGTGTATGTGTGTGTCTGAATGTGTATGTGTGTGTCTGAGTGTGTGTATATGTTTGTGAGTGTGTGTGTCTGAATGTTTATGTGTGTCTGAGTGTGTGTATGTGTTTGTGAGTGTGTCTGAACGTGTATGTGTGTGTCTGAGTGTGTATATGTGTTTGTCTGTGAGTGTGAGTGTATGTGTGGGTGTCTGTATGTGTATGTGTGTCTCAGTGTGTGTATGTGTGTGTCTCAGTGTGTGTGTCTGTGTTTGTCTGTGAGTGTGTGTGTCTGAGTGTATGTGTGTGTGTGTCTGTAAGTGTATGTGTCTCAGTGTGTGTGTGTCTGTAAGTGTATGTGTGTTTCTGTATGTGAAACATAGAAACATAGAAACATAGAATGTGACGGCAGATAAGAACCATTCGGCCCATCTAGTCTGCCCAATTTTCTAAATACTTTCATTAGTCCCTAGTCTTATCTTATAGTTAGGATAGCCTTATGCCTATCCCACGCATGCTTAAACTCCTTTACTGTGTTAACCTCTACCACTTCAGCTGGAAGGCTATTCCATGCATCCACTACCCTCTCAGTAAAGTAATACTTCCTGATATTATTTTTAAACCTTTGTCCCTCTAATTTGAGACTATGTCCTCTTGTTGTGGTAGTTTTTCTTCTTTTAAATATAGTCTCCTCCTTTACTGTGTTGATTCCCTTTATGTATTTAAATGTTTCTATCATATCCCTCCTGTCTCGTCTTTCCTCCAAGCTATACATGTTAAGATCCTTTAACCTAGTTATGTGTGTGACTGAATGTGTATGTGTCTGTAAGTGTATGTGCGTGTATGTGTTTGTCTGTGAGTGTGTGTCTGTAAGTGTATGTGTGTCTGACTGTGTCTGTATGTATGTGTCTGCATGTGTATCTGTTTGTCTACATGTGTGGGGGGAGGGGCGGGGACGTGTGGGGTAGGAGATAGAAGTATGGGGGGCCCCAGGGCAATTTTTGCACAGGGGCCCCGTGGTTTCTAGTTATGCCTCTGCAGATGATACAGACAGAATGTACACAGGAAGCATACCCTCAATATGCTGAAGATCAGTTAATGTTTCAGGAGCCCACCAAGATGGCTCTCTCGTTATATTATTTTGCCCGTGGCTCGGAACCAAATGGCCAAAGTGTTTATGAAATGAGCATTTCTCTCTGCATTACAAACTCCACAACCAAACATTCTCCACATGTACAAACATTCTCTCCGAGTAAGCCTCAGCCCCACATTAACTTAATGAAAAATACATAAATAAAATCAGAGAAATTCTCGGAAGCCAAGGGCAACCCTTCTCCAAGCAGGTAAGTTATACCCTGAGAAGTCCCCAGGCAGAAACAGATAATAAGATCCTGTCCAGAATTGCCCTAAGCATCGCCAGTTTCAGTCATGATAGAACAGAATAATGTCAGGGCGACCAGAAGCCATTGTGAATACTGTATATGAGATAATTTAACCACTCTGAATTTAAGATTCAGCCATAGTCAGGCACCACCAGTTATGTCCACAAGGTGGCACCAAAAGATAACTACAAAACCATTGTAGTCAAATTAGTTAAAAATGACTAGGTCTGTCTAAGATGCACTTTATTTACTGAGGATAATATTTAACATATTAAATAAATCAAGCAAACGCTGAGTCAAGAGGGGCCCTCAAAAATAATGCTACAATAGCGAGGACTTAGCGTGATCCTAAAGTCAATTAATGTCACGTTTATGCGTTGACAGGACACGGAACTCACAGAATTCCCCAAATTCCAAGAATCTCTGAACTGTTAGAATATCGTGGGAACTGTAATGCTGACACCACAAAAGGGTAAATGGAATTATTTTAGAACACCTATTCTCACCTGTGCTATTTTCACAGGTCAGTGTTTTAGTATTATTATTATTATTATTATCGTGGGTTAACTGAAGAAGGTCCCCTGAAAATTAGTCCAGGCGCCACCGTACCCTCAGCATGTATTATTACAGGAAGTAGGAGAAGGATTTAGATTCATGGTGGCTGCCATTTTGTGTCCAACCACAACTTTTGCTGTCAGTTTTTCTGTCAGTAGCAGTGCCTAGTATTGGCCACCAGGTTGAGCTCAGTGGCCAGCTTTGGGAAGATGGCTCCATATCTTGTCACATATCACATTCTCTGTGAAGATTGTATGGACTGGGCATGTATACCCTTATTACGGAGTGTTAACATGTCCCAGGGCTCGGGGCACGAAACGAGATGGATTCCATTGTTGTGCTGTGATCCCGGAGTGTGCAGGGCTGTGAATAGGGATATATATTAATAATAATAAAAATAATCATTTATATTGCACTTCCTTTTAGTAAGAGTTAACGTGTGCCACAATTTTATGTCACTGTAGATGCTAACATTGAAGGGTCACCCTCAGTACATAATCACAACTTATTGTATTATTACAGCTCATTGTACTATTATAACCTATTGTATTATTACAGCTCATTGTACTATTATAGCTTATTGTATTATTACAGCTCATTGTATTATTACAGCTTATTGTATTATTACAGCTCATTGTACTATTATAGCTTATTGTATTATTACAGCTCATTGTATTATTACAGCTTATTGTATTATTACAGCTTATTGTATTATTACAGCTCGTTGTACTATTATAGCTTATTGTATTATTACAGCTCATTGTACTATTATAGCTTATTGTATTATTACAGCTCATTGTACTATTATAACTTATTGTATTATTACAGCTCATTGTACTATTATAACTTATTGTATTATTACAGCTCATTGTATTATTACAGCTTATTGTATTATTACAGCTCATTGTACTATTATAGCTTATTGTATTATTACAGCTCATTGTATTATTACAGCTTATTGTATTATTACAGCTCGTTGTACTATTATAGCTTATTGTATTATTACAGCTCATTGTACTATTATAGCTTATTGTATTATTACAGCTTATTGTATTATTACAGTTCATTGTACTATTATAACTTATTGTATTATTACAGCTCATTGTAGTATTACAGCTTATCATATTATTACAGCTCTTTGTACGGTTACAGTTTATTATATGGGTTATTGTGTGATGAAAAAGATTAAAGACATTTAATAAGTCTTTCCAATCTGATCATATAATCTGTTATTTACTAAATGAGACATTAAATGTAAGGACAAAGTGACTGAACTGTTTCAGGAGCGTATCCTCCCAGCCAGCGATACTTCGAGTTACTACTACTTTGGCCTTACATTTGAATTCTGTTTATTTTCCCATTTTCCAGGGTACGATAGAATGGGTTCTAAGGTTCGGAATTCCCTTTGCTGGAGCAGCTGTAATATTATTGGTTACAGACTGTAAAATGGAGCCTTTTTGTGCTGAGATTTGGGGTTATTTTAATATGACCAATAATCGCCCACCATGCCCACCATGACCACCATGCCAACTATATACAGACTGCTCAATAGGACCACTCATATAAAGGAAATGCTAATGTATGTTTTGAAACACAGAGATTTTCTGAAAGCCGGGCACAGGGCGCGGGTCCCTTTTGGAAGTTAAAACAACCCTTTGAATTTGCAAAGCGTTTGTGTAAATTGTTTTGTGTTTTGTGTCTCATTAAATTAATTAGAATGGAATCAGAAAGAGACGTGAAGCGCACAGCAGCTCCTCTAATTAAATATTTCTTTGCAATAAGCTACAGATTACAGCCCAGTAATTAAAGCACTCTACTTGTGGAGGGGGAGCTCCCTGTTAGTGTGCTCTGCCCATACAGAGAGCTCTGGGTGTCAGTGTGTTCTGCCCATACAGAGAGCTCTGGGTGTCAGTGTGCTCTGCCCATACAGAGAGCTCTGGGTGTCAGTGTGCTCTGCTCATACAGAGAGCTCTGGGTGTCAGTGTGCTCTGCCCATACAGAGAGCTCTGGGTGTCAGTGTGCTCTGCTCATACAGAGAGCTCTGGGTGTCAGTGTGCTCTGCCCATACAGAGAGCTCTGGGTGTCAGTGTGCTCTGCTCATACAGAGAGCTCTGGGTGTCAGTGTGCTCTGCCCATACAGAGAGCTCTGGGTGTCAGCGTGCTCTGCCCATACAGAGAGCTCTGGGTGTCAGTGTGCTCTGCCCATACAGAGAGCTCTGGGTGTCAGTGTGCTCTGCTCCATACAGAGAGCTCTGGGTGTCAGTGTGCTCTGCCCATACAGAGAGCTCTGGGTGTCAGTGTGCTCTGCTCATACAGAGAGCTCTGGGTGTCAGTGTGCTCTGCCCATACAGAGAGCTCTGGGTGTCAGTGTGCTCTGCTCATACAGAGAGCTCTGGGTGTCAGTGTGCTCTGCCCATACAGAGAGCTCTGGGTGTCAGTGTGCTCTGCTCATACAGAGAGCTCTGGGTGTCAGTGTGCTCTGCCCATACAGAGAGCTCTGGGTGTCAGTGTGCTCTGCTCATACAGAGAGCTCTGGGTGTCAGTGTGCTCTCCTCCTGCAGAGAGCTCTGGGTGTCAGTGTGCTCTGCCCATACAGAGAGCTCTGGGTGTCAGTGTGCTCTGCTCATACAGAGAGCTCTGGGTGTCAGTGTGCTCTCCTCCTGCAGAGAGCTCTGGGTGTCAGTGTGTTCAGTAGGTGTTGCTGGTACAGTAGGTGCTGTTGGTACAGTAGGTGGTATTTGTACCGTAAGTGTTTCTGGTACAGTAGGTGGTATTTGTACAGTAAGTGTTTCTGGTACAGTAGGTGCTGTTGGTACAGTAAGTGGTATTTGTACCGTAAGTGTTTCTGGTACAGTAAGTGGTATTTGTACAGTAAGTGTTTCTGGTACTGTAGGTGGTATTTGTACAGTAAGTGTTTCTGGTACAGTAGGTGCTGTTGGTACAGTAGGTGGTATTTGTACCGTAAGTGTTTCTGGTACAGTAGGTGGTATTTGTACAGTAAGTGTTTCTGGTACAGTAGGCGGTATTTGTACAGTAAGTGTTTCTGGTACTGTAGGTGGTATTTGTACAGTAAGTGTTTCTGGTACCGTAGGTGGTATTTGTACAGTAAGTGTTTCTGGTACCGTAAGTGCTGTTGGTTTCGGGAAGATTCTTTGTGTAATGTTCTATAAAATGGTCGCGGTGATAGCCGTGAGAACCGGTTAAAATTTTTTTAAATATCTGGCATTTGAGGAATTTATCTCCAGTGAAGCCTGGAATACAAGAAAATAAATCCACTTCTGACTAGGGTGTTTAGAGAGTCCAGGTTCTCTGATGATAAGCTTTTTTACGAAGATGGATTACACAAACACAGAACGTGTGCAGATTCCAGAACAGACAATGGGATCTGAAACTGGTGACAGTAACACCGTGTTCAATATCTATCTCCATCTCTCCATCCTCCATATCTCTGCCTGTCTCATCTCTAGCTCTCTCCTAGCACTCTCTTATCGCTCCCTCTCTCTTATCTATCTCTCCACTTTTCTTCTCCCCTGTTTTTCTCTCTCTTATTATTTCCCATCCCTCTACTCTAACTGTCTCTCTCTACCCCATCCCTCTCTCTCCCTCCTATCCATGTCCCTCTCCCCATCCCTCTCTCTCGCTCCTATCCATGTCCCTCTCCCCATCCCTCTCTCTCCCTTCTATCTATGTCCCTCTCCCCATCCCTCTCTCTCCCTCCTATCCATGTCCCTCTCCCCATCCCTCTCTCTCCCTCCTATCCATGTACCTCTCCCTCTCTCTCCCTCCTATCCATGTCCCTCTCTCTCCATCCTATCCATGTCCCACTCCTCATCCCTCTCTCTCCCTCCTATCCATGTCCCTCTCTCTCCATCCTATCCATGTCTCTCTTCATGTCCCTCTCTCTCTCCTATCCATGTCCCTCTCCTTATCCCTCTCTCTCCATCCTATCAATTTCCCTCTCCCCATGCCTCTCTCTCTCTCCCTCCTATCCATGTCCCTCTCCCTATCCCTCTCTCCCTCCTATCCATGTCCCTCTCCCCATCCCTCTCTTTCCCTCCTATTCATGTCCCTCTCCCCATCCTATCCATTTCCCTCTCCCCATCCCTCTCTCTCTATCCCTCATATCCATGTCCCTCTCCCTATCCCTCTCTCTCCCTCCTATCCATGTCCCTCTCCCCATCCCTATCTTTCCCTACTATCCATGTCCCTCTCCCTATCCCTCTCTCTCCCACCTATCCATGTCCCTCTCCCCATCCCTTTCTCTCTGTCTGTTTCTTGTCATTCTCTGTGTCTAAGATTCACAGAACCTTAACCCCAACCTATTATAAATGAAAATTAAAAATCAAAATGCCACTGAAATCACCCAGTGCTCTGTGAAATTCATGGGATAACCATGGAATAGATTGTCTATAAAGACGGCCGATCAAAGCATCTTCAAACAAAACATATCGTTATGGGCAATGCCCGTAATGTTCTGCGCAAGACTGCCATTTGTAGCATTTATAAATGGAGCCATTCACAGAGCAGGAAATCGGAAATGTACACAGCCATCTCTAGCGCTATACTAGCGCTATACTTCACAGAATCCTATGGGTCACACACAGATACGTAGAAAGAAAACGTTGCCCATTTTATTCTGATTATTAACTCACTGAGCAAAAGATATTGTGAAGGAAGGAGGGACATCCTGGACTATACGTAAAAAATGTATCAGGGCTATTCTACCATTAAAAAAAAATATATTGTACTAATAGGGGGTCAACCATTTACAGTTCCTTCGCAGAAATGCAGAGGGCAAATTGAAGCTTTGACAGAGAGATGTGTTTCTCTGCATGGTGAAGAAAAGCAACAGAGAGAAACCTAGGGCTTTACAGTCAAAGGGGAATATAACCTGGGCTTTACAGTCAAAGGGGAACATAACCTGGGCTTTACAGTCCAAGGGGAAGATAACCTGGACTTTACAGTCAAAGGGGAAGATAACCCAGGCTTTACAGTCAAAGGGGAAGATAACCCGGGCGTTACAGTCAAAGGGGAAGATAACCCAGGCTTTACAGTCAAAGGGAAAGATAACCCAGGCTTTACAGTCAAAGGGGAAGATAACCCGGGCTTTACAGTCAAAGGGGAAGATAACCCGGGCGTTACAGTCAAAGGGGAAGATAACACAGGCTTTACAGTCAAAGGGAAAGATAACCCAGGCTTTACAGTCAAAGGGGAAGATAACCCGGGCTCTACAGTCAAAGGGGAAGAAAACCCGGGCTTTACAATCAAAGGGGAAGATAGCCCGGGCTTTACAGTCAAAGGGGAAGATAACCCAGGCTTTACAGTCAAAGGGGAAGATAACCCAGGCTTTACAGTCAAAGCGGAAGATAACCCAGGCTTTACAGTCAAAGGGGAAGATAACCTGGGCTGTACAGTCAAAGCGGAAGATAACCTGGGCTTTACAGTCAAAGGGGTAGATAACCCAGGCTTTACAGTCAAAGCGGAAGATAACCTGGGCTTTACAGTCAAAGGGGAAGATAACCCGGGATTTACAGTCAAAGCGGAAGATAACCTGGGCTTTACAGTCAAAGGGAAAGATAACCCAGGCTTTACAGTCAAAGGGGAAGATAAGCCAGGCTTTACAGTCAAAGGGGAAGATAACCCAGGCTTTACAGTCAAAGGGGAAGATAACCCGGGCTTTACAGTCAAAGGGGAAGATAACCCGGGCTTTATGCTTTATATTTTGCATTGCTTTTCCTGCAATTTATACACAGTTACCGGGCCAACAAGCATTATTAAAGGCAAAGCCTCCAATGTGACAAAAAGCAGACATCAAATTATCAAATGACTAAAATTAATGTGGAAGAAAATGCGCGATGATCAATGAACATGGAGTCCACACAAAACATGTGACGGATACATAATGGAAGCCATTTTGATGAAAAGCTTAATAATGCATTGGAGAACATGGCCTCACTATTACTATTATTATTTATAAAGAGCCAACAGATTCCGCAGCGCTGTACAATGACCCAACATTGAGAACATGCGCATGATAGCAATATAATCCCTGACACAGTGTATCCCCACTCAATTCATGCTCCACGGCGCAAAAATGCTCCACCAAAACCACTTTAATTGCCAACACGTTTCATACACGTAGATCTGAGTCCGCGGATCTTCCAGGAATTAGTTGGTTTTAACTTTCTCATGAAGGCAGCAAGTTCACAGTATTTACACTCTAATCATAATAACAACCAATTAGCCAAACAGATAAATCATCGCAATCTTAACGCTGTTAGTTATAATTAACTATTTCCACCTCCGTGACAGATGTGTTCACGGCACAAACTATGAATATTTATCATTAAAAAACAATTTAGCAGAAAGAGGGCGATTTCAGTGAGAGGAGCGACTCGGAGAGGAAGAGTGCTATTTACATTGCGTGTCGGTGGATATAACAGATAGATGATCATTATCGATGTAATTATTAAATAAAGTACTGCACTTGGCAAGAGATAGCACAGGAAACAGGGTTAATTGATTTGTGTATTAGTGACAGCACTTACTGGAATTATATACAGAGCAAATCGCAATATATTGAGCGCTACTGCCTCTACTGACAGGGAATCCACCATTATGTAATGTAAATCCACCATTACTGATAGGAAATCCATCTTTATTGAATGAAATCTGAATTTATTGAAGGAAATCCACTGTTACTGAGAGGAAATCCACTGTTACTGAAAGGAAATCCACAGTTACTGAGAGGAAATCCATTGTTACTGAAAGGAAATCCACAGTTACTGAATGGAAATCCGCATTTATTGAAGGAAATCCACCGTTACTGAGAGGAAATCCACTGTTACACAGAGAGGAAATCCATCGTTACTGAGAGGAAATCCGCCTTTAATGAAGGAAATCCACCGTTACTGAGAGGAAATCCACCTTTATTGAAGGAAATCCATTGTTACTGAGAGGAAATCCGCATTTATTGAAGGAAATCCATTGTTAATGAGGGGAAATCCGCCTTTACTGAAGGAAAACAACAGTTACTGAGAGGAAACCTGCGAGGACCTCTGTGTTTAACCAAACAGCCTGCCGTGACCCTCTGAATGGGTTCTTTATTGAAGGAAATCCACCTTTATTGAAGGAAATCCACCGTTACTGAGAGCAAATCCGCCCTTACTGAAGGAAATCCACCGTTACTAAGAGGAAATCCACTGTTATTGAGAGGAAATCCATTGTTACTGAGACAAAATCTGCCTTTATTGAACAAAATCCATCGCTAAAGAGAGGAAATCCACCTTTACTGAAGGAAGTCCACCGTTACTGAGAGGAAATCTGCCTTTATTGAAGGAAATCCACAGTTACTGAGAGGAAACCTGCGAGGACCTCTGTGTTTAACCAAACAGCCTGCCGTGACCCTCTGAATGGGTTCTTTATTGAAGGAAATCCACCTTTATTGAAGGAAATCCAAAGTTACTGAGAGGAAATCCGCCCTTACTGAAGGAAATCCACCGTTACTGAGAGGAAATCCACTGTTACTGAGAGGAAATACACCTTTACTGAAGGAAATCCATTGTTACTGAAAGGAAATCCATCTTTATTGAATGAAATCTGAATTTATTGAAGGAAATCCACCGTTACTGAGAGGAAATCGACTGTTACTGAAAGGAAATCCACAGTTACTGAGAGGAAATCCATTGTTACTGAAAGGAAATCCATAGTTACTGAATGGAAATCCGCCTTTATTGAAGGAAATCCACCGTTACTGAGAGGAAATCCACTGTTACACAGAGAGGAAATCCATCGTTACTGAAAGGAAATCCGCCTTTAATGAAGGAAATCCACCGTTACTGAGAGGAAATCCACCTTTATTGAAGGAAATCCATTGTTACTGAGAGGAAATCCGCCTTTATTGAAGGAAATCCACCGTTACTGAGAGGAAACCTGCGAGGACCTCTATGTTTAACCAAACAGACTGCCGTGACCTTCTAAATGGGTTCTTTATTGAAGGAAATCCACCTTTATTGAAGGAAATACACCGTTACTGAGAGGAAATCCGCCCTTACTGAAGGAAATCCACTGTTACTGAGACGAAATCCATTGTTACTGAGACAAAATCCGCCTTTATTGAACAAGATCCATTGTTACTGAGAGGAAATCCGCCTTTATTGAAGGAAATCCACCGTTACTGAGAGGAAACTTGCGAGAACCCCTGTGTTTAACCAAACAGCCTGCCGTGACCTTCTAATTGGGTTCTTTATTGAAGGAAATCCACCTTTATTGAAGGAAATCCACTGTTACTGAGAGGAAATCCGCCCTTAATGAAGGAAATCCACCGTTACTGAGAGGAAATCCACTGTTACTGAGAGGAAATCCATTGTTACTGAGACGAAATCCGCCTTTATTGATCAAAATCCATCGCTAAAGAGAGGAAATCCGCCTTTACTGAAGGAAATCCACCGTTACTGAGAGGAAATCCGCCTTTAATGAAGGAAATCCACCTTTATTGAAGGAAATCCACCGTTACTGAGAGGAAATCCGCCTTTAATGAAGGAAATCCACCTTTATCGAAGGAAATCCGCTGTTACTGAGAGGAAATCCGCCTTTATCGAAGGAAATCCACCGTTACTGAGAGGAAATCCGCCTTTATTGAAGGAAATCCACCGTTACTGAGAGGAAATCCGTCTTTATTGAAGGAAATCCGCTGTTACTGAGAGGAAATCCGCCTTTATTGAAGGAAATCCACCGTTACTGAGGAAACCTGCGAGGACCTCTGTGTCTAATAACCAAACAGCCTGCCGTGACCCTCTGAATGGGTTCTTTATTGAAGGAAACCCACTGTTACTGAGAGGAAACCTGACTTTACTGAGATAAAATCAAACTCAATGGAAAGAAATCCACCTTAATTGAAGGGAACCCGCCTTTACTGAAGGATATCTGCCATTACTGAGAGGAAATCTGTGAGGGCCTACCGTGACCCTCTGAATGGGTTCTGGTTTTGGTGGATAATTTGCCTCCTCTGGGAATAAGATTTTAAGAGCAGACATTTCATGTTCGACCACTTTCAATGCTCATTAATTTTGGGCCCAATACATGTTTAATAAATGGAGTTTTAGTAGAACGTATCTACGAGATGGAGGGAACATGACATAAATCCTTCTGTTTGCCAAGACTAGAATGAGAAAATTACATCTCACTTGTAGCCATTTACTAAAATAATCTCGGGTCAGTAGAACAGACCACAAATTCAAGAAAAGGACAAAAAGTGACACTACGTGAATGAATGAGTGGGAGATTAAAATGGTTACTGCAGCCTCCATCACCATCTCTGTGTTTAGAATTGGTCATGGTGGTAGAAATCTCTATACACAGGTTTATCCCTGAAAGACCCCTCTGGTTCAGATTCAGCATAAAAACTCTCTCTTCTCTTGCTTAATCGTGACTATTCCTGATAAATTGTTTTTTACTGCTGTTTTCAGAGGTTTGCGGTTTCCATGGTAATCCAGGTAAATTATACAGAAAATACTAGTTAATTAAAGAAATTGTGTATCCCTGTGTACAGGGGAAGAGAAGTCCATTTTATGATCCCCAGAGTCAAGATGTAGTTTAGACTGGATTCAGCGTTGTCTTGTTAAAATGAGTCATTTATGGGGGGCGTGGCCTAACCTCGGACGAAGATGGACGCCTGATCCTACCGCTCCGATCCCCCCACGCGCTAAATCCCCTGTCATCCGCATCCCTCACGCCTCGAAACAGTCTGCCCTCATACCAGCAGCAACCCCAACACAGCTGGCACCCGCCCGGTACGGAAAACCAAGTATGGGCGGCAACAAGAAACGGAGGGACACGAACCCATCGGTGGCCTCCATATTCCGCACGCCATCAGACCAACGGAGACCAACCTCCTCACAGGCAGAAGAGGAATCTGGGTCAGAGGCTGAAAGCCTGGACGCAACGATGAATCCGGCGGCCCCCATAACCATCGCGGTACTGAGAGACATGCTGCACCAAGCCACCAAATATACCTGGGGACACCCCTTCAAACTCATGATCAAGAAAGACGATCAAATGCACATCCTCACCTCAGTGTCGGACATGTCGCCCTTCGCAGAATCCCTAGGAATACAACTACTACAACTGGCCCCCTTCCACAAAAACCGTGAAGATGGGCGACCACAGGACGACCCTGAAGACTCTAGGCCGCCCAAGAAATTGAGAACACCTGCTAGCCCGGGAGAACCCCCTCGGCAACGCCGAGACAGCCGCCACCAATCCTAACGGGTCTGATCGCCTGCCACCTGGAAGCCTTCACACCACCAACAGCAGGAGCTATCCAGGTGCAGTAAGCGGCCCCCATTCAACCAACAAAACACCCCATACCTTCTCCGCCATATGCCATCCTGCCCCCACCCACCCCCAACCTCAGGACGAAAACTCTTTCTTAACCCACGACCTGGCCCAGACCCTGGACATATCGGCCACTGGATACGTATAACTACCACACTTCACTTGAAACCCAAGCACTCGGGATATCCGGGAGGAGCCCTGAACAAAGCCCACCAACCGCTACAAGATCCCCTACTCAACTCCAGGCACAGATCCAGATCACCACCACACTGGAACAACAGAGCTCGGACAATATACCTCTTCACACCTCGCCTGAAACCACATCCAACAACAAGCCTGACGTGCTACCCAAGAACTATCCACTGCCTGATTTGGGGACTCTCTAGCTGATTACTGGACTTACAATCTAACCATCTCTTATTTTGCAGGTACCCCCCCAAAATGGCCCAGGACTAGTTAGCCAGTCCCCGCCCCGACCCCATAGGACGAACCCCCTTGGAACGCACTGTTACCCACCCCATCCCCCCCCCGGAACCCAAGATGAACTCCACTAACCAACCCAACCAGACAGTATCACCTTCCCCATAACTACCCGAATCCTCACATCCACACAGGATAGACCATGACAACACCATTAGCTATTTACAAATGTGTAAAAGGGGACATCCCACGACTAATCCGGGGGAAACCCCCCAAACCTACCTACCCCCCCAACACAACGCAACACCACAAACCCACTTACACGGACTCCCACTGATCAGGACAGGACGACCCCCAGACACCCCCCCCCGACCCAAGCAAGATAGACGGGTAAACCCACTCAATCCGGATCCGTCACTAGCATGAAACTGTTATATAGCTTAATGTTCACACAGATGGTACACATGCGATAACTCCGGATCTGTGTACACACTTATAGCAGAAATGTTTTAAATGTTTTTAAATGCTGTTTTAAATGCTGTGTTTTTGTTACCATGTTTTCTACTATGTTTTCTACTATGTTACCTAATGTTTTCTACTACTTATAATAGACACCGACAACATGATCCTTGAAACAACATCCACAGGACCACAGATGAGGACAACATGAGACACACTCCAAACACCAATGGAGGGACCACGACTGGCACCTTACACCACAGACAGATACCACCGCACCGCCAAATCGTGAGTGCTGCACCACACCTAGCGCGGGGGGGAGAGGAGTAACAGGAACGTGAAACTCTTCCTCCTCTTCCCCACCCCTGAACCCCGGGTTTCCCGGGCGACACCAAGCACACGACCAACCCAAGGTGTACAACACCGCCTCCCCCCACTTTACCTGGCAACTACCACATAAGACCAGGATAGACACTTTGCAACCCAAACCCCCAAGGGTTTTGTAAACCTCACCCATCCCCCTCTCCCACCACCCACCCCCACCGGACCCCCCCCTAATAAGAGCGGACGGACGCCAGGTCACCCCCTCGACCCGAAGCCCACACCACACTAAAGAATGCCCACCAACGACCCACCACCACAAACACACACGACCAGACCGGACACAATCTCCTGCATATCCATCAACTGCAAGGGACTTAACAATCCAGCCAAGCGACACCGCACACTTCGCTGGGCCAATAGAACAAAAGCAGATATAATCCTCCTCCAGGAAACCCATTTTGACACGAAAAAACCCTTTCCCCTCATCAACAAAAACTACAGACAATGCTACCTAGCAAATTCGCCACACGGCAAACAAAACGGAGTAGCCATTATGGTTCACAAACACTGCCCAATCACAATCTTAAAAAGCCTCCCAGATCCCCAAGGGAGATATTTGACAGTCACGGGACACTTCGCCAATCACAAATACGCGATTACCACAGTCTATGCCCCAAATACACCCGAACCGACCTTCTGGACAGCACTACGCACACAACTAAAACTGTTCCCCTCACACCACATTATCTTAGGCGGGGACTTCAATGCAGTCCTAACCCCATCTATAGATAGGAAAAGCACGGAGGGAAACAAATCACGCAAACCCCCTACCAGGAAAAATGACAATCTCCTCATGGAGTTCGCCACCCAGATAGGCCTCCAAGACATATGGAGACTCCAACACCACACAACCCCAGACTTCACCTTCTACTCGCACCCACACTCCTCTTACTCCAGGATAGACCTATTTTTAATATCCCCTTCCCTAGTACCTTATACACACTCCACCTCGATAGGTTCAATCACTTGGTCTGATCACGCCGAAATCTCTCTCAACATAGATAAGCCCCGCACAGCCAAAGCGTGGACCTGGCGGTTAAACCCCACACTCTTACATAACCCCCAAATCAGACAAACAATCCAACAGGAGCTCACAAACTATTTCGAGACCAATACGGGATCGGTCCCATCCACGAACACACTATGGGCAGCCCATAAAGCAACAATCAGAGGAACCATAATTAGCGCAGCCAGCGCCCACAGAAGACAAACACTCCGGGAATTAGAACAACACCTGACCTCCCTAAGGACAATAGAAGCCAAACACAAACGCACCCCATCTCAATCACTGCTCGACCAAATTAAATTGCACCAACACGCAATAAAGTCCTATATGGCCAAAGATTCCCAAAAAGCATTACAATGGACCAAACAACTATATTATGAGAAGTCCAACAAGGCAGACACCCTCCTTGCGCGTAGACTCCGACATAAAACTCTCCAAAAACACATAGACGAAATCACTTCGCCTGGAGGCAGAACCCATAAAGACCCTGACCGCATAGCCTCTATATTCGTTGACTACTTCTCCAAATTATACGACCATAAACCCAACCACACTTTCACTCACCCAACGTTAGGACAAGAAATTCACGACTTCCTATCGGAAATCCCCCTCCCAGCACTAACAGACCAAGAACGAAACACCCTCGCGTCCCCAATCACTGAAGAGGAAATAGCCCTCACAATAAAGCACATTAAACCCAATAAATGCCCAGGACCTGACGGCTTCACAGGCCTCTATTATAAAACGTTCAGCGCCACATTGATACCCCATCTGACCGCACTCTGCAATTCTATAATGGAAGGCGACCAGGTACCACAAGAGATGCTCAAGGCCAACATATGCCTAATCCCCAAACCACACAAAACACACCTAGACCCTGGACATTACCGCCCAATATCTCTCCTCAACACAGACATCAAAATCCTCACGAAAACACTGGCCAACAGAATACAACGTCTCCTTCCAAAACTCGTGCACCCAGACCAAGTAGGATTCATCCCCAACCGCCAAGCATGCGACAACACCAGACGCACGGTAGACCTAATATGGAGAGCCCAACATAGGAACATCCCCACCCTCCTACTCTCGATGGACGCGGAAAAAGCGTTTGACCGCTTACTCTGGCCCTTCCTATTTGCCGCCTACGAAAATTCCACTTCCCCGACGCCATCATCACGGCCCTCACAACACTGTATTCCAACCCCACGGCAACCCTCCTTCTCCCCAACACTGGCCCGCATGAATTCACAATAAAAAATGGAACCAGACAAGGCTGCCCGCTTTCCCCACTCCTGTTCGCCCTCTCCCTAGAACCCCTTCTTCAACTCATTCGCATATCCCCCGAAATCCTGGGCCTCAAAGTCCGACAGGAAGAATATAAGATCGCAGCGTACGCAGATGATATCCTACTGACACTCACGGACCCCACCAACTCCCTGCCCCCCCTACTCACACTCCTCCAAAAATATGCCGGCGTCTCCGGCTACAAACTTAACCTAGAAAAAACTGAAGCCCTTCCCCTCAACTTCCCGCAACAACTCCTAACCCAAATAAAATGCTCTCACCCATTCCGATACAATCAACAAAGTATCCACTACCTAGGCACACACATCTCAGCGAACCTCTCCGAAATGTACTCACTCAACTATACCCCCCTAATCGAACGAGCCCAAATAGACCTACAAAGGTGGCAACCCATGCATATTTCCTGGCTAGGCAGGATCGCATCCATAAAAATGAATCTCCTGCCCAAATTCCTATATTTGTTCCGGACCCTACCCATCCCCATCTCTAGGCTGGACTTCAAAGCCCTCCAATCAAAAATAGATAAATTCATCTGGGCCGATAAAAGACCACGGATCAAACGGATAACAATGTACAAAACAGTTAAGACCGGAGGCCTGGGCCTCCCCAACCTCATCCAATATTACCAAGCAGCCCAACTAGCCCAAGTGCAACACCTCCACTCCCCCCCGGGGACAAAACTCTGGGTCGATCTGGAGCACGACCTCCTCGGCAGAGACCACCCCTCCCTCCTCTTCTGGCTCCCAAAAAAAGACAGACCGGCACTTCCCCCAACAACACCCGCCCTAACTACATCACTACAGGTCTGGGACAGAACCACCGCACGATACCCCCTCATAAACTCCCCCTCACCACTTACCCCAATCCTTAGAAATAAACAATTCCCCCCAGGCATGACACCACGTGACTACGCACATTATGAAGACAACGGACTAAACAGACTCAGAGATTTCTATAAAAACCAACAACTAATCCCATTCCCAGAACTCCCATGTACCATGCCATTGAACACCTTCGACCACTTTAGATATCTACAATTACGCAGCTTCCTGACAGAACCTCAGAATAGGAAAACAGCAACCGCAAAACTCACTCGATTCGAAACAAACTGCCTACAAGCCCCCACACATAAAGGACAAATCTCCCTGATATACTCCGAACTAAACTCCAACTCCCCAGCGGACACACTTACATACACAAAAGCATGGGAAAGAGACATAGGCCCACCGGATGACCCAACAGACTGGGCAAGCATATGGGAAGCAACCGCCTCACTAACCATATGCGTGAACCACAAAGAACAGGCATACAAAACCATGCTTAGATGGTACCTAACGCCTCTGAAACTCAAACAGATGGGCATAGCCCAAACAGACACGTGCTGGAAAAATGCGGACAACAAGGTACATACATACACATGTGGTGGCACTGCCCTTGCAGCTCGCAACTCTGGACTGAGGTTGCTAACCTCACCTCCAGAATATTGCACGAAGACATACCCACAGACCCTTGGACGTGGCTACTCTCCAAACCCCTACCCAGCCTAACAAGAGCACAAAACAAACTGGTAGCGAAAATTAGCCCTCGCTACTAGACGCACCATAGCAGAGCAATGGGGTAACCACAACACACCCACACTGGCGAAGATGATCCAAAAAACCAATGAAACCATGGAAATGGACAAACTCTCAGCCATTCTACATGACACGACAAAACACTTCCACAAAATCTGGGACCCTTGGGTTATGAGACACATTGTGGGAGTGTAAGACGGGGTCGGGGACGTCCGGCCGCTCTGTAACTTCCCTCCATCCCCCCCACTCTCCCCCCTCTCCCCTGGAGGCGCGATGCCTTATCCCCATACACAAGCTACCCATAATATACCCACGATAGACTATACACACAATAACACCGCGAACCCAAAACCACAAGACACGACAACCACCCCTGACCACTGGAACAAGCCGCAGCTAACATCGCAAACGCAACTCAGACGCACCCAAGACGATGCAACTGACCACAGAGACCAAGCGAAACACACACAAGCAAACAACAAAACGGTCCTGACGTCTAACGGAGAACACACACCCAACACTCAGACTATAGTACAAAGAAAGGCTTGTGCCACTCTTTCTTGTGTGACACTCTAGCAGCAGGCAACCTTACTGCAGGCCTATAGCATGTAAAAACCACCAAATCAGAAACCAAACGAGAAACTACACTGCTCAAACGCTCACAAAACTGCACCAAACCCTGAAGGCTGACATAACCTCAAAACCAGAACTACCACCCGAACAGCGACCTTCGCTGTGAGGGGGTAAACCCAATTGTATATACTATGAGTGCGGCAGCATCTACTAGGTTGAGTCCTCTACAAGCGGCTCCACTATTTAATAACCTCTACTACACATTGTATCACTATAGTGGTTATGGTCAAACACAATTAATGAGCTACACCTTAACTAGCTGCAAGACGAGACTACTTCTCCACTACCCAACACACCGTCAAAATATATATGTTTAGCCCGAACAGGCACCTTATTATACTGCTTTTACCATACACTGTGCCATTACTCTATGTGCCATGTTACAGTATTACCATGTGATCGATAAGCCAGCTTGTAATTGCTGTTGTGGCATTGCAAGCATGTTTGATATACTATGCATAACAAAAATAAAGAATTACAAAAATGAGTCATTTATACTCATTGGAGCTCAAGCTATATTTTCATTTGGAAATTCTATAGATTTTGGTTTGCCCAGAGCAATTTGGGAGAAGTGGAAGTGAATTAATGTGCTTGGAACTATACTGTGGACTTGTTAGGATTGAACGTTATAAGCCCACCGCCATCTTTGCATCTTCTCAATGCACCTTATAAGACGTTAGAACAAGCAAAGCTTGGCCTTGATTTAATAATATTAGATAATCTTTTCACATTATCACAATCTGTTAGAAAACTTTCTGAGTAATTTATCCTACAGAAGTCACCATTCGAGTCTATGGGAATTCTTGCTGGTAAATCACTTGGAAATGACAACAAACTCACCATTAGAAATAGTGCATTATGTCTGTATTCCAATTAGAACATATGAGAAAACACAGACCCATAAACCTCACTGCCTGAATTTGCGTATATAGCGCAGTTTTCTTTATTCGTAAAATTTATATAATTTATATATTTATTTTCTCACATCCACTATTACTCAAAGGTTTAAAATAAGACTACCTGTAAAAAAAAAATATCTGCCATATCAATATAAAATATATGTATGAACATTAAAACCTATACTTGTTTATCCTGGCACAGGGAGGGCATATCATGCAAATGAGCCTGCCCTTCATGCTGTCAATCAGACAGCTGAGCAATGTGCCATGTGCACCTGAAGCGTCATGGGGGTCACAGGGGGGTAAGGGTGCTTTAAACCTAACTCAGCTGCTCCCCCAATGTAATACATATTATTTTGCCCCTCCCCCTGTGGCACCCTTGTTTCCAGGGCCCCCTCCACTCATCCCTGCTGGCACCCCTATTTCCACGGGCCCATCCCTGCTGACAGCTCTATTTTAAGGACCCCAGTCTGCTTCTTTGTGGCTAATGAAACATTGCTGCAGAAAGCCCTCCATATTGCTCCCTCTGTCTCTCCTGTACACATGGCAGTATAAATGTGGATGACCTGATTAAGTATTGGGAATGTTGTCCCAGGACTGGCATTCAGTTTGATGCTTCGCGTTTTAATTTGAAAAGCAATTTCTATTCTATTGCAGCTTCCAGACTTCTCCCCCCTATACCTGCGAGTAAATTCATATAGACCATTTGCAAAGAGACCACCTGCCCCCCTCCCTAGCACCCTCTATTCACTGTCTGCAGCAAACATTGCATTTAAACCCTGCCTGGAGCACCGTGTGCCACGCTATAGTGCATGCCACCTGTGTACATGCTTCTTCTCCTATTTGCAAAAGAGAATCGTATAATGCATTACCATGGTAACAGTCACCAAACCATTCCTATATCACTTTCCAGTCCCTTCATCTTGAAAGAAGATCTGTGTAAAAAAGAGAATCTCTTCACCCCAGAGAACATCCTATCTCCAAATCTCTCACAAAGTGCAGGGCTCTATACAACACAAAAACCCACCATCCAGGAGAACATCCCATCTCTTAACATCTCACAATGTGCAGGCCTCCGTACAACACAAAAACCCACCATCCAGGAGAACATCCCATCTCTTAACATCTCACAATGTGCAGGCCTCCGTACAACACAAAAACCCACCATCCAGGAGAACATCCCATCTCTTAACATCTCACAATGTGCAGGCCTCCGTACAACACAAAAACCCACCATCCAGGAGAACATCCCATCTCTTAACATCTCACAATGTGCAGGCCTCCGTACAACACAAAAATCCACCATTAATGTCCAGACCTCTGTACAACACAAAAACCCACCATTAATGTCCAGACCTCTTTACAATACAAAAGCCCACCATCCAGGAGAACATCCCATCTCTTAACATCTCACAATGTGCAGGCCTCCGTACAACACAAAAACCCACCATCCAGGAGAACATCCCATCTCTTAACATCTCACAATGTGCAGGCCTCCGTACAACACAAAAACCCACCATTAATGTCCAGACCTCTGTACAACACAAACACCCACCATCATGAAAAGGTTTGCGCGGCACAGGAACACAACCCAGGAATAGATGTCATCTTCAAAAGCATCACCCTGTGGGAAGGTCTCTGCAGTACAGATGCCACCACCTCCAAATCCACCACCTTCTCTGAAGGTTTGTGCAAAGCAGGAGGTACCGTACAGGAGAACTACAGGAGTAGGTGCAAAGGCTGTCCTGATGAGCTTTCAATCTAAGTTAATTAATGGATATATTCTGTTCCAAGGAAGCATCCGGTTGTACTGCACATGGTTGTAGACAATGGGCACAGAATTTGACAAGGGTCAGAGCCAATCATTGTGCCAATGTTAGTGGAGTTTTTTGTTTACCCATAAATTTACTAATTGGCATTGCAATGTGTACACTTAAAGCCTGTCTTACCATTTTGGGGTAAAAATGTCCCTTTTCCCGCTGCTCAGTCTAGCAGCACCTCTCTGAGACGGTTCTTTGTAATACCCTGCGTTACGGGCTGATGACACTGCTTGAATAGTTAGTAGGGTACCGTTTACTTTGTAAAAAGATGCAGTGATACAGAGCCTGGCACAGTATTAGTGAGTTAATTATGAAATCTTGTTATCCCACCTCGAAACCAGCATTAAATAAATCTGCATCATTTTATACTATAGCGCGACTTGGCACCATGCCAGGCGTCTGCCGCAGTTTATCAGATCCAGTCACAGCCTTTTCTCTTCAGCAATCAGGAAGAATTCAGCACTGATGGCTCCCATCGGTTTGCTGGACGAGTGCGTGACGTGGGTTTAATGAAGATATAATCAGAGATAGACATAGCAAAGCAAATTATTACAAACAGCATTCAGAATGAGTACCAGAAAACTGTATATTAATTTCCATGCTGTGTACCAGCAAACGTGGTATATTAGCTGCCACGCTGTGTAACAACAAACGTGGTATATTAGATGCTACGTCATATAAAACAAACATGGTATATTAGCTGCCGCGCGGTGTACCAACAACATGTGGTATATTAACTGCCACGCCGTGTACCAACAAACATGGTATATTAGCTGCCACTCTGTGTACCAACAAACGTGGTATATTAGCTGCCACGCTGTGTACTAACAAACGTGGTATATTAGCTGCCACTCTGTGTACCAACAAACATGGTATATTAGCAGCCGCGCGGTGTACCAACATATGTGGTATATTAACTGCCACGCCTTGTACCAACAAACGTGGTATATTAGCTGCCACTCTGTGTACCAACAAACGTGGTATATTAGTTGCATGCTGTGTACCAACAAACGTGGTTTATTAGCTGCCACTCTTTGTACCAACAAACATGGTATATTAGCTGCCATGCTGTGTACCAACAAACTGGGTATATTAGCTGCCACGCTGTGTACCAACAAACTGGGTATATTAGCTACCACGCTGTGTACCAACAAATTGGGTATATTAGCTGCCACGCTGTGTACCAACAAACTGGGTATATTAGCTGCCACGCTGTGTACCAACAAACTGGGTATATTAGCTGCCACATGAGGTCCAAAAAGAATTATTCACCAAATGAACGTTATGTCAGTGCCGTTTTATTTCACTAGCTACCCTGTGATATTGCATGTGCTGAAACTAGATTGTTAGCTCCCCATTCCAATTGATCATGGTTTTGGGTGGGTAGGTACATCACAGATCTGTTCCCCAATCTGATTTATATCTAAGCACTTCACAAGCCTCTTCATTAATGCCGTTGCCTTGAAGAATTGTGGAGCCTGCCATTTCTTGTTGCCTTGCAATGCTTAATTTGGGGATGTAAGTTAAATTGGCTCAGGCACCTCCGTGTGCAGCTGTCAGACCTGAACACCGGAGCTATGGGGACGACTGTTTCTTGTCACTTCACTTTAGGAAGGAGTGATTTAGAAATGATTTAGGGAATGGTTTAGGCACCTGTTGAAAATGCACCAGATTTGTAGTTATTGTAAAAATCACATTAATAAAAAACGATTACAAATAAATGTAATGAATTTAGACTTTACACAACATTCTAAACACATGAGATCGACTGGCTTGTAAAATACCTGCATTGTTCAGAGTCAAAAAACCTCTACAGCGGAGCACAGAGAAAAAAAATAATATGTGGAATCAATGAAGAAACTGACGATAGAGTATACACCCATCATTACTAACTGCCCCCAGGGCCCAATATCCACCCAGAATCCCCACCCCATCATTACTAACTGCCCCCAGGGCCCTATATCCACCCAGAATCCCCTCCCCAATCATTACTAATTGCCCCCAGGGCCCAATATCCACCCAGAATCCCCACCCCATCATTACTAACTGCCCCCAGGGCCCTATATCCACCCAGAATCCCCACCCCATCATTACTAACTGCCCCCGGGCCCAATATCCACCCAGAATCCCCACCCCATCATTACTAACTGCCCCCAGGGCCCTATATCCACCCATAATCCCCTCCCCCATCATTACTAACTGCCCCCAGGGCCCAATATCCACCAGAATCCCTACCCCATCATACACACCTGTCCCCAGGGCCCCATCATCCACCTGCAACTTCCCATCATTACTAACTGCCCCCAGGGCCCTATATCCACCCATAATCCCCTCCCCCATCATTACTAACTGCCCCCAGGGCCCTATATCCACCCAGAATCCCTACCCCATCATTACTAACTGCCCCCAGGGCCCTATATCCACCCAGAATCCCCTCCCCCATCATTACTAACTGCCCCCAGGCCCACATCCACCCAGAATCCCCACCCCATCATTACTAACTGCCAAGCCCCCAGGGCCCCATCCACAGAATCCCTCCCCATCATTACTAACTGCCCCAGGGGCCCAATATCCACCCAGAATCCCTCCCTATCATTACTAACTGCCCCCAGGGCCCAATATCCACCCAGAATCCCCACCCCATCATTACTAACTGCCCCCAGGGCCCTATATCAACCGAGATTCCCCTCCCCCATCATTACTAACCTGCCCCCAGGGCCATTTATCCACCCAGAATCCTCCATCATTACTAACCTGCCGACCCCAGGGCCCATTACTAACCTGCCGATCCCCCATCATTACAAACCTCTCCCCAGGCCCCTTCAAACACCCATAAACCCCCCCATCATTACTACCTTCTTCCCAGGCCCCTCTATACAACCAGAATCCTCTATCATTGCCGAACTCCTCCCTCCCTCCCAGGGCACCCCTATCCACCCAGAATCACCACCACATTTCTACCTCCCACCCCAGGGCTCTATATCCAACAAGAACCCCCCATCATTACTAACCTCTCCCTAGGCCCCTCTATGCACCCATTATCCCCATCATTACTAACCTCTCCCCAGGCCCCTATGCACCCATTATCCCCCATCATTACTAACCTCTCTCAGGCCCTCTATGCAACCCACATCCCCCCCATCATTAATAACCTCTCCCCAGGCCCCTCTATGCACCCATTATCCCCCCATCATTACTTTCAACCTCCTCCCAAGGCCCATCTATGCAACCCATTATCCCCATCATTACTAACCTCTCCCCTAGGCCCCCTCTATGCACCCATTATCCCCCCCATCATTACTAACCTCCTCCCCAGGCCCCTCTATGCACCCAGTATTATCCCCCATCATTAATAACCTCCCCAGGCCCTCTATGCACGCATTATCTCCCCCATCATTACTAACCTCTCCCCAGGCCCCTCTATGCACCCATTATCCCCCCCATCATTACTAACCTCTCCCCAGGCCCCTACACACACACCCAGACTCCCTGTCAGAGCGCAGGCGCTATTACCACATGTTGATTTGCACTAGAGAGGTCCAATCCATATCTCTCTGTCTATGATATACAGTTTTGTATTTAGCAGTTGCCCAGTACTAGATGTTTATTTAATAAACAGGGACTGTCCCTCCAAACTAGGGACACTTGGGAGGTATGTTATGGTGACTCCATTTTTTTCCAGCAGTGAGTCTCCTTTTAACACAGTGTTTATCTATGTATTTTTTTAATATATATTCTCGATGCATACAGCTGGGAATTCAGAGATTTGGAAGGTTGTCTACAATAGAGAAAGGGACAGGAGGTGAGGCTTGTAGTGAGGTAAAGCATTGCGAAGGCAAATATAAAAACAACAGCTTTCAGCAGATGTTTATCCAGATGGTAATAAATACACATTAGGCATGGAAAGGTTCATCATACACTGGAGTTCAGAAATCTGTTTTCCTGGCCCAGCAATCACTTTCATTCTTTAACAATTCATGGACTGTCTGAGCTTCCTGGAGCTGGGATTCATCACCTCCCCTTGGGCTGTGCACCTAGCAGTTCATCAAATGGAGAGCACAGTCAGAACGCCCAAGGAAGGGTACCGGGCGGAGGTGGGGAGGGGGCGAGAGCTCTCAAAAGGAGAGTCAAATATTCCCCCCCAAATTCCAAAAACGCACAAACTGTGCCCGGGGCCTTAACGAGAGAGCGAGAAAAGGCACCAATTCCCACAGCCCCATAATGCGGCTTATTCTTCTTATAAACATTTATAATATATATAGTATATATCGGCGGGTAACGCCACTGACCTCAGCTCCTCGTAGATTGTGAGCTGATTGAAACCTCCTCTCAAACAGCCCCTTTCTATCGTTTCTGCAGAACACGCTGGTGCTAGCTAGGCATACGCTCTCAGACAGACTTCACCTTCCAGAACTGGTGCCATGATGATGAGAGCCGCAAGGTCCAAACTGCAGTCCATGGCTGATTTCTGGTCACTGGTCCTTTTGGATCATCAACCATTCTGTGTTTAAAGCAGCTATGGGGGATCTAAATAACACAGTATGAAATTTGAAACGCAATGCCCGCTCATTTGCAGGTCGTGCTGG